GGCTCGACCAGGGAAACAGATTGGGTGTTTTGACCAGGGAAACAGATCTGGGGTTCGACCAGGGAAACAGATCGGGAGTTTGACCAGGGAAACAGATCTGGGGTTCGATCAGGAAAACAGATCTGGGGTTCGACCAGGAAAACAGATCTGGGGTTCGACCAGGGAAACAGATCTGGGATTCGACCAGGGAAACAGATAGGGGGTTCGACCAGTAAAAAGTGGCAGCTTCCACCAGCACAAAGAGGAGGGCTCGATCAACAAAAAGACTGAGGGTATGGTAAACAAAAGAAGACATAATTAGAACGACACGAATAGGCTGGGTTCAGCTAGCACTAAGAGGCAGGAGGGGACCAACAGGAACATGGACAGAGGATATACACAACTTATTATGCTTGATAATTCATAAAGCAAACAAAAGAACTGCATAGCATCCTGAGGATGGGATGGGAGCAACTAAATGATGATGATAAAATCGTCAACAGCTAATCCGGATCAGCGGTTCTCAACCTGTGGGTCGTGACCATTTTTGGGTCGAATGACCCATTCACTGGGGTCGACAAAGATCACCGGAAAACACATATTCACTGAAGCTATAAAGTAGCAACGGAAATAATTGTAAGGTTGGACCAATCATTGTTTGGTTGGACCCACAACGTGAGGAAGTGTATTAAGGGGTCGGGGCATCGGGAAGGATGAGAACCATTGCTAAAGATAATGGGAGGTAACTCACTGCAGTTTGGAATGCCACGATTCGTATTAATGTCTCGGCGATGCGTTGATGTCGATGAGCAGCGTATCCTTAAGAAAACAATGGCACACTAGTGAGCTTATTATTGTCGAATAGGCACTTGATGATGATAATTGACCTAAAAAAAGCCATTGACTTTTATTGTACTATTACTTCTGTCTTCCCATTTTTTAAGACGAAGCAAGAGACATCCCAGGACAGATTAAAAAAAAAAAAAAAACAGGAGTAAAGAAGATTACTTGACTCACGAAGAAAACTGATTGCCCACAGCAGAAAGAGATAATCTACATTCTTTGGTTATGTGATGAGAAGAAGAAAACTGAAGTACATCGTGACGATAGGAAAGATGGCGGGGAGTAGGGACAGAAAGAGGCTGAAAGAGAAGATGTTGGACGGTTTGACATCATGGCATGAAAGCTCATCTGTGTCGGAGTTTATTGAAAGTAAACTAGGCAGAAGGTTGTGCATACACATGACTACCAACGCCACACAGCATGAACTTTGGGAAGAAGATTTGCTGACGATCATTCCTTTTAAACAAAGATAAGGTCAACCACATAAACAGCCCCAGCACCTGAGAAATATAATTTGAAATAAATACTATAAAAAAAAACACAACATGTGTAAACACTAACACTCAATAAAACAACAGTTAAACATTTAAACACTGCTAAAGGAAAGACATTGAAAAAAGGTAAGGAGTTTAAGTACCAAGGCAGTGTATTTCCTGAGGATGGATGACTGGACACAGAATAAGAAAACGGGGTTAAACAAACGTTAGTCTCCCCAAACAAAGTAGGTCACGTTCCAATCATAAGTTTGTTAGGCTGTTCTACCTTTCTGCAGGTTACGGATGTGCAGCACTGTTGTTTGCTTTATGTGTTGTCTTGCATTTTCTTTTTTTTTTCGAGAAAGAGAATACCTGTGACATAGGTTTCATCAGTCTCTAAGGAGTTTTGTGTTAGACCCAGTTTCGCGATGTTTTTGGAGTGTTAAAAGCGATGGCGTGCTGAAATATACAACACACGATATCAACGGCATTGCGGGAAACCCCCGTAACCTTATGGCAAGGTAACCTGGTTCTACCAATCAGAAGTTAGCTAGTGTTTAACACTGTGTAAATGGGGAGACTAACGTAAGTTTTACCGAAAACGGACTAATAACTGACTAACGTTCAAATACACCAGGACCCAACAGTCAATAATAAACACCCCGTGACACAAATGTCATCATTCGGATAAGAATTTCCGGAAACCCCATTTAACCAACAGGCTATATAAGGACCCCTGACAACAGCCGGAGTGGGGCTTTAAAATAGCAACAAAAAATCAAACTAAAACAGAAGGCCAACAACAAAGACTGTCAAATAGCCCCATTTTTGATGCATCAAATGTCAACAGCACACAAAAATACAGCTGATACATGCGTTATTCGCACCAGCGTTGTATCACCTATTTCAGAAATTGACAGTCCTAGGTAGAGAAAACAACATAAATCAAACGCAAAATTACAGTCTAAAAAAAAAAAAAAAAACTTGTTTCATTAAGAGAATTTTCTGGCATTTTTTTTTTTAAAATCTACCTCTTATCCTCCAATGGGGCATACGTTTTTATCGAAGTCACGCCTAGTAATCTTATCTTCTGCAATCGCATGCAGATCATCCCATGTCTTCCCTCACCTTTACTTTACAATTTACTTCTCTGCGTCTTTGTTGTTCTGCCTATATTCATTTTACCCTGTGGATTGTAGTGG